GCGAGCAGCTGCATTGATCGCTTGTGGTTGCTAGGTGGTTGCTAGGGGTGGCGCCGTAACATGCCTCTGCATGCCTCCGTCCACCGCGCGCGACCCGCGTCGCGCGTGAGGGGGGGGGGAAGCACCCTGTAACACGTGGTTGTTACACATTCATATAATATCGTAATGATGTTGTAGTTACTCAAAATTATAAACACCTAAACACGTCCTAACCGTACCCTAACACAGTTTTAGCCCTAACCATAACCCAATCCCAATGGCAACCATTTCCCTAACCCTAACCTAATTCCAACCCTAACCCAACGCCAACTGTAAAAACCTTAAAAACTTAATTAACAGCGGTAAAGAAAACGTGAAGAAAATGTAGGTCATCAAAGCGATGCATGATGACCTGTACGTCTATAGCCACACCAGGAGATTAATTAGTACAGTATCAGACAAGACAAGAACTGTACCTAACCCAATTATAACTGTATAAAACTATAACTATAAGTATAACCATCTACTTAACAACTATTCAGTGTAACAGGTGTACCGGTAAACATTCTACCTGTACAATCTCTTGTTTGCTATAACAATGTAACTTTATTTTGGCAGCCAAGGCCCCGCATAGGTGTCGCCATTGGAGACCAAATACTTGACTTGAGTGCGCTGCTGCACTTGTTGCCTGCTACTGCTCACGATGCACTCAGCCAGGTTTGTAATTGCGTTAACCACACTTTATTGAATTACACCTGTGGTCAGTCCTCGCCAAAAGACAAAATCCTTTACTGGACATTCGGTCCAGTAAAAAATAGATTTTTACCAGACCGAATGATATGTTACTGGACCAAAAAAATATTGAAACATTAAAACACATTCACATCTCTGTTGCTTTTCCTTTGTGGACATATCTAACATATATGCTTTCCTGCTCATCACCAGGTATGTCTGTTGACCCATCCATGATAAAGCTGAAAAAGCTTAATTTGCATCGTTTATTTTTTCATCCATTTCGTGAGGCGTACAATCAGCAATGCATTCGATAATGCCAGCTTTGTCATTGATGTAGGTTTCACCTATTTCTAGGCATTTGGCCTTGTCCAGTTGTGTGATCCAGGTATAATCAGTGATAGTAATATAAACTTCCCATGATAGTTCACACACACGTCACATGTCATCATTTTCTTATCTTTTATCATATAACAGCCAATCTCTTCCTATCGCTTTCCCACACCATAGATTAATTTGGTACACGCGTATATAAGATAGCCATAGGCAGGGATATTAGTGTTAGGCATATAGTGTGTGGTACTGACGTACCCGTAGCCTCTGGGTAATTAGTTGATGTAATGTTACCTGACACACGGTCTGGTAATGCCAAATTTCTTTACGGACCGGTGCGAAAACCACCGGTTTTGTCCGACGGTCCGACGCTTTTGGCGAGGACTGCCTGTGGTTATTGTTAACATGTATCTAGTTTAGCTGTTATATTTTCATGCTAAAATGTAGTACATATTTTGTGGCAACTATATGTAAATAGTAATGTATGTTGCTCTATTGTTTACCTGACACATTTCATATAGTATATCACTACAATATATATATATATACCCCGTGATACAATAACAAATAATTATAGTATACATCCGTTTGGATAGAAACTCTCCGGTTTGAATCCATACTATAGTGCCAAATCCAATTTCCGATAAGCGTACTTAATCCGTATGGCCGTTGTAAGCAGAGTGGGAATGAAAAAGCCCCAAAAGGAGTGGTGCCCAACAGCCTAAATCTATTGGAAATCCCAACCGTTTGCCCTAGCCACTTCAAGATCTACCTACGATTTATTATGTTTAATCCAACAAACCTATAGCTAAGAATTCACCTCTTGAAAACATTTCCCTAGCGTTGTACGCAATCAGTTTCCCATACACATTCCAATGCGCCATTATAATATAAATAGAAATGTACGACACGGTTTTGAAGCATTTCACCATAAAATCAGAGTGTCCCGTGAATAATTTTGATCACAAGGACTGTTTGTGCGTGCAGCGCCATTCATTGGTGGCATAGAGCTATAACGTGTACATTAACTACTAACTAAGGTATCCACCCTAATCCACAAAAGTGACCATATAGGTAATTAACTATCTTGTTCTGGAGTCTTGGTCCATTGCGGGCCACCAGGATGAAATTGCTTCTGTCAGCTTGCGATGCTGTGAGACTTTGTAATTAAGATTGGTTTACACGATGAGATTGTGAACATGCTTCAGCATGACTTGGGTGCGTTCATGGGACTGGGTTCGGCAGCGTGGAAGGAGACAAGGGCAGCTCTGCAGCAGCTTCTGTCTGCAGATGAAGCCACGCTGAGGACGACCCAACTACACGAGCCAGGTAGGTGAACGACGAACAGGAGAGGTGGTTTGTGGTAAGTATTCGAAATATAGGCTGCAGATCTATAGTGTTCAAGCCCCCCTCTCACTGGTCTACCATTCTACCTCTTGAACAGGTACTACCAAGATTTGCTTCAGTCGACGCCTACTGTAGAATCATACTATGAGCACCAGAGTAAAGCTAGCAACCTCATGCCACTATAAATCCAATCTGTCTATCTTACAGATAAAATTTCACAGGTTGCGGTGCACAAACGACAAAAACTGTGTGAGCAATAGCTATAAGAGTTCAATCGGACATAAACCATTGCGGTAGCGAGATGCTTTGGTGAAAGCTTAACTGCGAACAAATGCTCATGGTTTCTGTAATAGTACACAGATGTACCTTCGTCATCTAGTGGACGGCAACGTGTTTTGTGTGTTAGTTAGTCAATATATCTTCGTCTGCCGCTTATAATTGTAGCCTATTTCTTGAATTTTTGTTTTCCAATATGTTATAGAGCTCTGCTTCCGAGTCTGCTGCAACTATGCATCTTCCTGCCCACCATTGGTGAGTGCGCTCTCTTCAATATTTTGTGTATGCCGATAATCGTAATGTTTCCAGCGCTGTAGTAAAAGCCTATTACCGAAACCTGATGCGTCATCCTCAGCGGTGAAATACATTGTTGACGACATGCTAATACTGCCCAAAGCTTACCTAGATCTATTACATATGATAGTGGCTATCATTCTTCTAATACCTGTTTATATGCATTGTTTATTGGCATGTGTTGTCAAGCTGGGTAGATAGGCACTACATAAAAATAACACATTACATTGTCAACACTGTTACACCGAACTTGCCATGTTTTGTCAATGCGTGGTAATCGTGAAGATTTATCAGGCCAAGAACCTCATGACAGAAGGGAATACATTAAGAGGGTTCATGTAGATTTGATACTTGCTAGCATATAAGGCATTATGAAATACGAACATAATGAACACTCACATTCGCAGTGATACAACATGCATGCATACATACGTATCAGTGTCGAAATATAGTTAATGACCCTGTGACCTTGACCTTGGTGGAGGGCTCAGAATCAATAGGTTCTCCTCGCCCCATAAGATGCAACTGTGGACCAAGTTTGAAGTTTACCTCTACCGGTTGCAAAGATACGAGCGAGCAGACACACAGACATTCACACACGCCGCACACATCCACGAAACCGAAACGGCCACGAAACAATATCCTCCGCGCACTGCGCGCGGAGAGTAATACTTGTACTTCGTCGAGTAGACGTGTTCGTATGGTTAGCCTGTGTTGCGACTAGCGTGTATTGTGTGTGCGACTGTGCGGTGTTGACAGTATTATGAGTAGCGGGCGTTGTGTTTTACGTTTGGAGCTTTTATTTCGATATTAGTTCGATAAAGCTGTAGTTTATTGATGAGAAACAATGATTTTCGTCAGTGAGGCGGTGTTTTGGATAAATTTCTGCGTGGTGGCTGAGATTTGAGTGAGGTGCCCACCTACCTGCGCCGTGCCAATGCAGGGAAACACTGCGTGTGCATGCATATAATATGCGGGAATGATGGCGATTGCGTCCGCGAACGGTTTGCTGGCAAGTTATTGCCACTGCATAGCTGAGACAGGCATTTTGCGGGTTTTGCAGCAGTTTTTGCAGCTTGCGGTGGCTTGTGTAAACCATGAAAATGCCTTGACTTGAGGCGTGCATTTCGGGGGCGATTTCGAACAGTTTCTTTTTAACTGTCGCCCCGTAATCACATTTTCGGGAGCTTTTTTTGGAATTCGGGACGATTTCACCTGCCGCCCCCGTGTATTTTTCACTGCTGACTGCTGCTAAACACTGTACCGAAGTTTGCAAGCCAATTTTCTTCGGTGGGGTAGGGTGGATTTCTGTCAGTAAAGCCGGGTTGATTCAGTTTCATTTTCATTCCATTCCTTAACTGCGCTAAGAGAAAGTGCATAAACCACAACTGCCACCTATATTTATGCATCCGCCGCCTAATTGTTATCTTGCTCCATCTAGGCGACTACACGGATTTCTACTCATCCAGGGAGCACGCGACCAACGTGGGAACCATGTTCCGGCATTGACAATGCGCTAATGCCTAACTGGTGAGTGCGATGCTTTCTCATCTACTCGTTCTATCCAGTAAATATGTTCATGAGAGCACACTGCGCAGGGTCATACTCAGTGTAGTGCAATATTAGTCAACCACCCCTTCATCCGTCGAACATGCAATTAGGGTAAAATGGAGATTGGGGTATAAATCTACTATAAAATGCGTAAATAACTCGCTAGGGCCGTGCGTCCCCTCGCTGCCGTGCGTCCTCTCGCTGCCCATCGATTGAAAGGACAGTGATTTTCCGTTTCAAACAATTTTCTTTTCCGTTTGGGAAATCTATGAATTCCGTTTCAAAGTAAAGAACAAATGGAAATTCCGTTTTGCCATAGAGATTGTAACACACCAAAAATGCAAAATTCCGTTTACATGTATTTGCATGGGGGAAAAAAGGTATTTGGTCACTGACGGACAGTTGGGTTGGCACCGAAATACAGGGCAACCAAAAGTCGTAATTGTAAGTCATTTTGCTCTGAAACTTGTCTGAATGTAAACCATATCATTACTAATGCTATTGTCGACGTTTTTGTGTGGATTTATTGAAATTTCCATGTTGTAATATGTTTAAATTACATTTTTGGCGTTTTTCCGTTTCCAATGGCCGTTCCGGTATTTTCCGTCGTTTTCTGCGATCCGCGGAAAATCACTGTCCGCTATGTGTAGTGGCTATGGTCATTGCGTTTTCTCACACCACGTCTGTGCTTCTTTCAGGCTCCACCTTCCCGTTGGATACCATGGCAGGGCTTCCTTTATCGTTTGTCTCCGCTACGGACCTACACAGACCCCACGGCCAGACTAGACCGGACGAGAGTGAGTTTTGCTCTACTTCGCGTCTTCATAGTGTAGTCGGCTGAGATAACTCTGATGCCAGACGACTGTTGGCGCTATACTTGGTGCTATGTGCGCCGTGTAATTGCTTGACTAAATTTACGAATTCGATAATAAAATGAGAGTAGACTGATGTAGATTACAACTGCCGTTTCACTATATATTATATACTCACTAAACAAACGTCGTACAAATTACACAGGATAGAAGATAGCTTTCACAATGCATATACGATTTAGTCACAGAGAGAGGGATACACAAGAGCCCCGTTTCCTCCGCGAACCTCTCTCTTAATACCCCCTTTCGTAACTCAGCGCGTGAAACTCCTACAAGGATGTCTCCCCCAATCACTGTTGACTACAGGGACGGTAGAGGGTTGGAATCATGGACGATGGTCAGTTTCTAGAGGGGGAACGAGGGGATAGGCCAAATGGCAAGAAATGAGGGGGGACTGTGTTTACGCCTTCATGCGCCCTCTCGGCCACGGGATGCCACCACGTAGGTGGCATAAGTTTGACGTAGGTAATGATGCTGGATGTGTCGATAGATTTACAACCAGGGCGGCCATCAGCCTCTGAAAATATCCCCATTTCGGCCAATGTGCATATGTTCAGGATGGAACAGCTGTTTAGCATGTGAGTTCGAAACCAAGTTCTGCTTAAAGTGTTGTCTGTTCTTTGCCGACGGTTGTCCAGCTAATGTAATAATACTGCTGCGGTGTATCTCCAACTATAATTATTCATTGCAAATTGACACATACCAGCGCGGACGTGGTGCCGCCACATGTTGATATCTAGTTTGTAGCCAGGGCTAATGTTGTTTACCTGTGTAACTACTTTTAACATGTTTGTGTGTGTTCATCAGATAAATCCGTTCTTCACTGCCTGCTGGTGTGGTATATGAATTATGCCGGGTGAATGCTATATGCGGTCGCGAGTGACGTTTAGGGTTGCTACATTTCCCTACGCCGGGAAAGACAATGACCCATTGTCACATGCAGCTCGACTGCTCTAACGAAATAGGGCGTAAATTTCCAGGTGGAGAGCAACGG